ATTCTCACTACAAAGGAAACTGGGAATTCCCTATTACAGTTTCCAAAGCCTTGTATTTACTTCAGACTAGCATTACCTTACTGAAATCTATGTCATTCTTGTTTTCTTGATTTTGCCAGCTATGTTTGGCTTGACACCAACATCTTCCTTCTCATAGATATAAGACCATATTTGCAATTAGTCTTATGTTGCTTAGATGGGCATTCTGATGGGGAATCTTTCCAAGAGCTGGGCGGCCTGAGAATGATTGAAGCTGCAATCCAAAACATCTGGACTACATGCTGGCAGATTGGAGAAGGCTGCCTTATTACATGGAGAATTATTATCTTTGTAGTGATCTGGATTCAAAGGTGGAAAGGTGATGCACAGTGGGTGAGCAGACTATACCCACTGGCATCTCCTTAAATCAAACATGTCTTTTCCTGGGATTGCGTTATAAGGCTGGGAAAAGAAGCAGCTTGCCAAGAGATGTGATGTATGTGTCCACGCATGCTCCAAGTCACCTCTTCCCCTTCAAATCCAGACTGCTGCACAGTTTTACTATCACACAGAAGCATGTACTCACAAAAATTTGTTCAATCCAGGTCAGGAGATTCCACTTTCTGGCTATCCTGACCAGCCTCCAGACCCTTATCCTATGGATCCAAAAGCAGGGCCAGCATCATTTCATCCTGGATATACACCTGTGTTTCCCTACCCACCTACAGTTCCAGCTGCACAGTACCCTCTATATCCACCTGGGCCACCATACTACAATCCTACAGGTGAGAAAAGAGTGTAAATAATGAAAAGTTAGATTTACTTCCTATCCACATATGGTACAGATGTACTCAGTCTGAACTCTCAGAATTTCCTTCAAGCATGGGCAGGGAATTATGAGAGCTGCAGTTCTCTAGAGCTACTGTTAAGAAAATGTTATACACAAACAATCCACAGTATTCACTGAATCACAGGCACTTAACAAGCCTTGGTAAGTGTAAATCAGAAGAAATTTTAACAATGCATGGTTGTAGTTAGGTAACAGTAAGTCTTAGTTGAGTTCCATCCGAGAGATTTAATCTTTTCAGAATCTCTTAAGTGGTAGGAGAAAGATTAATGTTGAGGATGCATTGGAATAACAGTGGAAAGGCAGGGAGGGAAATTTAAGGGTAGAAGAACAAGAAAGAAAGAAAGAAAGAAAGAAAGAAAGAAAGAAAGAAAGAAAGAAAGAAAGCACGAAAGAAAGAAAGAAAGCACGAAAGAAAGAAAGAAAGCACGAAAGAAAGAAAGAAAGCACGAAAGAAAGAAAGAAAGCACGAAAGAAAGAAAGAAAGCACGAAAGAAAGAAAGAAAGCACGAAAGAAAGAAAGAAAGCACGAAAGAAAGAAAGAAAGCACGAAAGAAAGAAAGAAAGCACGAAAGAAAGAAAGAAAGCACGAAAGAAAGAAAGAAAGAAAGAAAGAAAGAAAGAAAGAAAGAAAGAAAGAAAAGCATGGACGTAGGCTTGTCCTTTTCTAAAACCCAAGATGGCCATGCGTAAAACAAGGCAAAATAAGAGGCTCCCCCCCCCCAAGCTACAGTAACATAAAATGTAGCAATGTAACAGAATAAAAGATACAGAAATATGACATTTCCATAGGACTACTATATCAGGGCTGCAAAAAAGGTGATGACCACTGGGTGACAGAAAGAATTCCCTTTGCTATCACCTAGTGGTTATCTGGATTTTTGCAGGGCAGAGTATGGTAACTCTATAATCCTCACACATTTGGAGAACATTTAACCTTGAATTAGGTCCAGCTTCACCTTTGGTGTTTCTGTAAAAAACTGCTTTGAGTTGAGCTCAGTGTATGGCAATTTACAGACTTAAGCCTTCCTACTAGTTTCTTATTCATGTACTAATCAAGACCAGCAAAGATAGCAAGCTGCTGCTACCCATATTCTAATGGTCAGTTTCTTTCTTCTGCAGCTCCCCCACCATACCTCCCACCGCAACCAACACAGCCTAGCACTTGAGAAGATTCTTGTGAGGACTATTCAAAGGAAGCCTTTCTTTCTGGGCCTGCCAACTCCCTTTTTACAGAACTTGTAGGGGACTCCTGCTGTCCTGAAACTCCAGCCTATGCGTCAGTATTTGCCAGTGTTTTTTTTTTTTTACTAGTTATCTTATTCTGCATGGTAGGAAGCATTATGACTTTAATTCATTTCCCCACCCATCCCAGTCATTGAGAGAGTCACCTTGTCCTCCTCTCTTCCTATATGGATTCAGGAAGTAGCTAATGATTACAAATGCGAGTGCACAAAGCTGGTACAAGTGCCATAAATATAATTTGAGAGATTACCCTTCTCTGCAACCAAGCTTCTTCAGGAGTAGGCAGGCAGCTTGCCTCCAGGGGGCAGCAGAGAGCTACCTGTCTTTCCCTGAAGAAGAGGAGGGTCAATTTTAGTTCCATTCTTCATAACCTCCAGCTGATGTTTCATGTCTTAAGGAAGCCCTGAGCCCTAAGATGGATATAGATATTAAAGTCTGAAGATATTTGGTGCTGATATAGATTCTTACACTAAGTAGACATTACCTTGGCCAGAGTCCAGAGGAGAAGCTACTTGAAAGCCCATGTAGATTCCCAAATAAAGCTGTAAGTGCAATTAATACACAAGAAAAGTAGATGGGCCTAGAGACTCTTCTAAGAGGTGAGATGAGGGCTAGAGAAGAGAAGACACATTGTTTTCCCTGCTTCTCAGCACAGAATGAAAGTAATTCAGTATTTGAAGATGTAGAGACGAGCCCACTTTTGGCATTTCACCTGCAAGATTTGCTATGGGTATTGTCTAGGAAAAACTGGGTGACAAAGATAATTCTTCTCTTTGAATAATTTGGATTTTCTGAGGGATTTTTTTTTTTTTTTACTGATTTCCATACTACATTGAAGAGCATTTTGAAATATCTCTTGTGCATTCTAGACCAATCTAAAGAAAAACAGAGTTAAGCCTGCAGGGTCATATTATGACTTCCAATATAAACTGCTCTCAAATTACAGCCCCTTTACCACCCAGTGATATGAAATCTAGATATTTCAAAAGGTAAAGTAAGCATTAGAGCCTGTGGCAAGTTGTGAACTCTTTACCCATGACAGAGATATCTGGTGCTCTATTCCTGGTTCATGTGTACTTGTTAATTCACTGTAATGTAGTCATATTGCCCATTTCCCACCAGGTAGACCAAGGGGCAAAAAGAACCTGCCAAGAACTGGCATCTCAGATGAGCAGGGACAGAATTCAATCAGGCTTAAAACTGGTTTAGCAATTGTGTTAGGGAGATGCCTTGGCTAAACAACAGATATGGTAATTGGATAGCCATTTGGAGGAGTGTTGGTTCCATATGTGAAGTCTTATTAGACCCCTCTTTCCTGGTTAGTTCCATTTGTTCCATTTCTATACAAATCCCTTCCACCAACATCCAGATGGGTTGAACTAGAGTTTCCAGCATTCCTAGCTAACACAGCTTTCCCCAACCTGGGCATCCTCCATGGCTTCAGTTTCAAATCTTGGAACTCTTCAACCAGCATCTTCTGTTTTTCTGCAAATGAGAAGAGAAGACAATGTCATTTGTATAAGAAATTAGTATTCTTGCTACTTTTGGTTTATAGTCACTGGTCAAAAGTAACTGCAGCAAGAATTTCTTTCAAATTTCATGTGAAAAAAAAGTTTTCTCCCATGGTGAGACTCCTCTCATATATATAAATACATGTTCTTTCATAATATTCTAATTCAGTTTACATTCCTTTCTTTTCACTAAGAAAGATTAGCTAAGATTAGCTAACCCCTTTGATTGTCTCTTAATCCAGCTTCTCAGCTTCGCCTCTGATCAGTCAACTGTATTCCTCGGGGTGGGGGAGGGGAATGCCTACTAAGAAATTGGTGCCTATTCTTTATGTAGTGCAGCCTATTTCTTCTGGAAGTCCCTGGTGCTTTCTCTGGCTCTGTCTGTATTCTATTGTGTGCAAAACCTACCATTCTGCAGCTGGTATGTTGCAGAGAACACTGGAATTTTGTTTTCTTCCTGACTGTACCTCTTTGGCCATTCTAGAGCAGTCTGATAGTTTTCCAGAATAGAAAGTCATTTGTAGTGTAGTTTAGAAGCTGTTCCAGAACAGTAAGTTTTGCACATCCCTGCTATATTCTTGCTGCATGGCCCAGATCATCAATCCGCTGCTACATCTTATTGTTCTTCCCAAACATTGGCAAGTTCTAGTGTGATGAGATGAGGTCGGACAGTCCCAGCTATTCCTCCTCACCTGCTGAAGGGATGTTAATTTTGTACCTGCCAGTGTTGCAAAGGCTCTATTTAAATTATCTGGAGCACAGGGAAGGCCTGGGAAGCAAGGCAAATGCATGATGCTTCATGCAGAGTATAAAGGCAATTCCTGTGCAAGGAAAGAAATAGAAAAGGCGACCATGTGCTATGATGCCTACTGACCTCATGGCTCCTAGCAGCTGGGAAAGTGTGTTAGCCCAGCGTGAAGAAGCTATGCATTGGGCATATGCCTTTTGATGTTGCACATACAACACAGCTCTGCAGAACCAAAGTGTTTAGCAGTGCTGTGGCACCACAATGTAGACATCCTCTCCCTGCACTTGACCATCTCTGAGTCGTGCAGGAAACTTTTGAGTTGGAGAAAGGAGGAGTTAACCGAGTCAGCCCTTTTGCTCAAACCACATTCCCACTGTGTGGGAATGGCCTGCTGAATTGCAGCAACAGTTGCACCGCTGTCTCATATTCTAACCAGAATGGCAAGTGTTTGCATTGCAAAATGTTTGCTACAATGTGGATTAAAGTTGTAAATACTGATTAAGTTACTGCTGTGTGTGCATGTGTGTATTTCTTCTACCTTTGCTGTATGGTTAGTGGACAGATAGTCCCAGAATCATTTCTTAACAGGAGAAATACACAAACTTTCCTTTGGGAACAATAAAGAACTTGATAAAGGAAACTGTTAATATTTG